TTTATTAACATTGCATTAAGAGGATACATAGACTAAACAAACATAATAAAAAATGTAACATTAAAAATATTTTATGAAGCAAAACGTTTTAATTTTTTACTTACAAGTTGTTATATAACTAATTACTGATAGAAAAAAGTTTATTTTATATCGCTCTAAAGAGTGGGATTATATTAGAAAATTTTCAGAAAATAAGAAGAAACAAAAATAATACACCTAATAAAAAAGTACGTGAAAAAATATGTTATTTTACTAATCTAATTTTCATACAAATAATTTTTTAATTATTTTTAATTTTCGAGGGTTATATCTATAAAAGGAACTAATTTAGGTTCTGTTTATGTATAACAGAGCAATATTGAAAACCAATGAAAACCGCTAATAAAGCTAATATTTTTACTATGATGTATTTTTTTGTTTGTATGTTTTTTATGACAAATAATATTTTTTAATAAACCCTTTTTCATTCGACATACTTTACCTTAATCAGGATATTAATAAGGAACCAGCAGATCAAGTAGCTTTTGGAATAAAACACCAATTTTTTTAAAATTAAACACTATCCAATGATTTGCAACGAAGCGTTTTTTATTATAATGATTTTAATCACTGTCAGATATCATTATACTTGACCCAACTATGCCACGTCCATACTATGCCACGTCCATACTGTGCCTCGACCCCACTGTGCTGGGTTTTTTTTTAAATTATTTTAACAGTTTACACTACATTAATGGCATATTTTGTATTATTTATCTCTAATAAGAAAAATAATTTTAATAAAAATTTGTTATTTTAGCATCGTGAAAAAAACTAAAAAAAATTTGCTTGCTATGATTTGGTTTTGGTTTCTGTTTTATGTAACCTGCTGTTTTTAATGGGTATTTTATTTTATTTATTTTTATGGTATTTATTTTTTTTTTATCAGAACAAATATTTTTAATTATAATTTATCCGTATTTTTTGTAGATATTTAAACAACTTTCTAGAGTATAAATAAAATTTTAACAATTTTGTCAAATATAAGTAGGAGAAAGTTTAGTTTTAAAAATTGAAGAAATGTAAATATAAACTGAGCTTTTAAAGTGAGGAGGGAGCTAAGTTTTTATAATATGTTAATTATACCTTTATTATTTTTAATTCGTCCAAACTTAATTTATTAAACACATGAACAAACATTTATATACTTCAAAATAATAATTTATTTTTTTTACAAACCAAAAATTGTCTCAAATAATCAATTATAAATAACCTTTGTTTGATATACAAATGTCTTAAGTTCTACAATAAGAATACAAACCTTACCTAAAAAGTTTAAAAAAATTCTGAGAATTTCTTTGTCGCGCTGTTAAAGCAGTTACAACTTTTAAGATTTCAATAAACAATGTACAAGTTCTGATAAATTTGCATAAATAATTTTGTTTTATAAACAAGAAACGCAGGAAAATATACTGATTGTTTCTCTTACACAATTTGTACACGAAAGAGCCCAGGGAGTCTAGACTCCTCCCAGACACCGATATTTTTACATTATTTTATAGGGTAAAACTCTGAAAAATATTTCGAATAGTCTTCATTTTCTATAACCCTTCCCTAGAAACATTTTTTTTTTAACTTATTCGGGTTAATAATAGTAACATTTTTGGTAATCAAATTACCTACTCTTTTAATTACATATTTACATTAAAATTTAATATTTTATATTAAAACATGATAAATATATTTTCATACATTGATAATAAAATATATAACAATCGTTATAGAGAGTGTTCAGTAAATAAGGAAACGGGTTTCTTTGTTTTCATTGTTTGTAACAATTGATCTGTTTCTTTACTTACTGAACAATTGTATATTTTTTATATTACCTGTATAGATGCGTATTTATAAAACATTTTCTTTTATAATTATTATTCTTTTGTATAAACTTTTTTTTATTCAAAATCTTCTTATAAGTACTTTTTTCAGTAAAATAAAATATGTCATATTTGTATTAATAAATGCAGTTACTTATATATTAGTTAAAATTTTGCCAAACATCTCTGACAGGATTTTTACGAAAACAGTAAATTTCTACATTGCACTAATTTCTAAAAAAATAGATCGTTAGAAAAATTTGAAGGGAAACTCGCGTATTACAGATCCGCATTAAAGGAAAATACGCAATTTTTTATCTAATATATTTTTATTCGTAAAGAAGGTCAAATGCCGAGGCTTTTGAAACTTAAATCGATGACTATGTAAATTTACTCAATGCTGGGAATGTCGTTTTAGCATCAAACAATAAAATCACCGGTACACGGATCACCTATGAATAATGAATGGCGATTTTGGAAGTGAAGTTTTAACATAAAGAGAGAAACAAAGAGGGACTGGAAAGGATTCGTTTGTGTGGTAATTTAGATTTTCACTATAGTGACGGTTTGTTAGAAGATGATTGAGGTGGAACTTCATTTCCATACGTATAAGCACATAATAATTCTAGTATTTTATACCATACCAAAAAATATACAGAATTATATCTTATAAGCAACTGTTTGACCAATTGAATTTGGCGACAATAATTTGGCAGCGTTCTCGTTTTCAATACTAAACTTTAATGCTATTCATATAGGTATAGAAAATTATTAATGGTTCTTTAGACTATTTCATCGTGTAATATATTTGAAGCTAAACAGAAAAATTTATCTTATTCAAGAATTAGAACTTTAAAAAATAAAAACAATATTTTAAATTAAAATATTTTTTTTATCACAATTTTAGTTATTAACTATAGTCAAGTCTAAACTAATTTCACTATATACAGTGATCATTATTGTTTTATAACTACTTTAAAAACATGACAGTTTTAATTTACAATAATTTATTAATTTATTGTTAAATATTATGAATAACTTTTTTGAATCTCCAGTGTATAAAATATGTATTCGGTAGTAGAATTCTCTTTAAAAGCTTTAATTAGATTAAAAATATTTTATTTCAATATGATGTAGTCAAAGGTCAACAAATGATATTATTCACAAGCTACACTTAAAGATCCATAAATAACTAAATGTGAGCTATCTCTTTACTTAACCTTACCAAAACTATTTTCTACATTTTTCACTAAAAAAATCACAACACTAATGGTCCTCGAGACCATATTATAGCTGTCAGTCTATCCTATGACAAATGACACCACCTCTCGTTCGTATTCATGTTATACGTCATATATTTTTATTATCTTGACTAGATTATTTTTCAGTCGCTTTATACAATTTTTTTGTAAAAAAGTATACTTGGAATTCTTTAAAAACACAATGAACGATAATTAGATTTTCTTTAATTTGTGTAAACATTAAAAATAGTTATAATAGCTAAGCCATCTTAGAAAAAACACTACTACGATCAGATTTTCAAATAACAAAATAATTCTTATTTAATGTAACTAAAAAGTTTAGTAATATACAAAGTATATTACACTATTAAACCACATAATCAATCAAAAAATAAGAAAAAATTGATAGTATTTTTCTATTATTTATGTGTTTTTTCAATTAATCAATCATGAAGTTTATTCAATCATTCTATATAGGGCGTTAGTAAGGAAACTCATTTCTATTGTTCTCATTATTTGTAACAATTTGATCTGTTTTGTTTCTATTTGAACACCCTTTACATTATAACATACATTTAACTAACTTAGTTAATAAAATAACTGTTCGGTAACAACTTTCAGACCAGTATTTTAAAAGTTATTAACATTTTTATATCCAAGCAGGAAATTTTATAAGGTATAAGAGATGAACAACAAAAATACTTCATGATTAATAAAAAGGAAAAAAATTAATTAAAAAAACCATTATAAAATTATTCATATTATTTTTATTTTTCAATAAATTAAATAGTTCATCATAAAATCACTCTGTATAGCCTTTATATTTCAATTTTATGATATATATTAAAAAATATATATAAATATTGTAAATTTTCGTTAAATATCTATCGATTAAATTAATTATACATACAAAAAATCGATGTTTTTAATATTACTCAAAATAAAAATAATTTGCATCACATTTATCTTGTAATATATTATTGTCTGATAAATTTTGTTAGATGAAATTTATATCACAAATAAAATGTGATCGAATTGCAGTCACTGTTATTTTGATTAACAATTTTAACATAACATTTATTTATATTCCACATTATAAAATACGGTATTTTAAAATCTTAAGATCAAAGATATTTCATAAAAAATTCTCACATCACTCGAACTCATTCTAATACGATTATTAATCGTGAATGAAAACATTTCTCTTGTAAAATCAAAGGAAATATTTTAAGTGTTTTTTTGAATTCCGAGAATAACTTAATAGATTGAATGATTGATTAATCACTAAAAATAATTAGCTAAAAAAAGACTGTTTATTTCATTTTACTAAAAAAAACAATGAATTAAAAATGTTCTTCAAATAAAACAATTTAGAACGCAGTTATTATTATTTTTTTTTTGTTCAGTGGACACTGTTTTAATACTAAAAATGCTTAATCAGAGATTTTTCTTTCTAAAAATAAATATACCTGTTTAAAATAAATAAATATTGAATACATTAAAACTTTTTGTACAATCTATTGTTTTTAATTACCATTACACAATTGTGACTTTCTCATTTTTTTGAAAATGTAAAAAATGTTTTTAAAGTTTTCAGCATGGATTAAAACCACAATTTTATTTCGACTAAAACTTGAAATAAAAAAAGCTATTGTTATAAAAAATATAATTACTAAATAACAAAAGTCTATATAATTTCTGTTGTTCGTCACCATCCATAGCTAACAATAAAGCTATACAAAAAATTGGCTTATTTTAAACTAAACATGTTTTGAAGTAAAAGGTTATTTTTGGAAATAATTGAAATAAGAATATTTTCTATTTAAAAATTGAATTATTAAAATTTTTAATGATTAAATTTATATAAAAACCGTTTAATTGTTGATTTATTTATATTTTTTTGCAGAGCCTATAACAACCATTATTGGTGGACCCGATATGTTTATCAACAAAGGTAGCACTATGAATCTTACTTGTATCATAAAGCATAGCCCTGAACCGCCGCCATTGATTTATTGGACACATGACTCAAAGGTAAAATATAATAATTTTAATTTCTTAATACCCCTCGTTGTAATTTTAATTTTAAACTTTGAAATTAAAATGTTATTTGTTTTCTTATTGACAAAATATTTACTAAAAGATAAAATCGTGGAGTAAAATGAGCTTTGAGTTGATCATGCTTAATAAAACTCTGAATATTGGTATGCATGAAAATTTAAATAAATGTTTACGGAATATTTCATGTTACTTTATATTAGACAGTCTCATCAAAGTGCTTGAATTTATATTACTTCAGAGTAAAATGTAAATTAGTAAGTACTAGGGATTTCTTAAATATTTTAATTTAAAAGTTTATCCATCTAAAACCTTTTTGACAATGGCGTCAATAACGAAAAACATTCACAGATTTATCCATTTGCTCGTGGTTCAAACGTTTTAATATTTATATCGAGTTTCAATATTAAGCGAAATTATATAAATATTAATGAATTTCTAAATAAGCTATTTAGGATCCTTTTCGTAAACATAGTAACACATATAAAACAAATATTGAAGCATAACTTTGACAAAATCTACTGGTATGTCCGCTAATGTGTAAACATACAGGGCGATTCATTGAGGATAAGACACTCAATTTCTAGGAAACTATTGAAATTTGTTTTGTAAATGAAAATATTGATTTATTCAAAAATTTCTACAATAATAGAAACTCTAAATAATTTTTTTTTTCATCTCTTCAGGGTTAAAAATACCTTAACATAATTTATTGGTAAATATGACCACTATTTTTACCTTGATAATATGATAAAAAAAATATTTACAAACAATTCTGTGCTTATATTTTTTTTTATGCGATCAAACGTTTGTATATTTTAGCATGTCAAATTAAGCGTTTTTAAACAAAATTTCTATTATTATTCTACTGTTTTGTATACAGAAGTCTTTGATGACTATTAATAGACACATATATTATATTCCATACAAGTTTACTATGTAGAACGACAAGTGTGTAAAGAATTTTTTTGATAACTACTATAAAAATAATTTATGGCCCATTAAATCTGATTATTGTTGCCTCTTGTATTACAAAAACCAAAATAGTAATGAACTTTTATTTTGAATGCAAATCTTTAAACAATTTAAAAAGACGAACAGTTGATCGGATAAAAAGAATTATGAAAACAAAATTGTTTGTAAACTTTTTTTTCTATCATATTTCAAGACAAAAATAGGGGTTCTTATTTAAAAAAAATTAATTTTAAGGTTTTTCCCCAGAAGAGACGAAGAAAAATATTCTTTAACTACACATTATTGTAGAGTTTTCTGAATCAAACAATATTTTCTTTTAGAAAAAATTAAATGTTTCAACAGTTACCGAGAAAATGAGTGTTTTATCCTTAATCCCTAATACTCTATATGTTTATTTAAATTTAATCAAAATCAATTGTCAAATATTACATTACATTAATTTAGAAAAACAGTAAAAATAAAAATTGTTATAATTCCAATAAACTTTGGATTTATTATGTAAATTTTAGTATAAAACTAGTTGTTTGAGAGATTACACACATTATGTTATAAAAATATAAATATCCAGGCGAAAACCAATTTTTTTGCTCCTCTTCGATGACAATGAACTTTAATTCTCTCATTTTCGTTTTTAAACGCCCTTCTCTTGCATTCTTCTTTACATTATTTAAACTAAAGGCAAAAATATCACAATCCAAAACTTTTACTAGACATGTAACAAATAAAAATAAAAACCAAACCAAATACTCGTAAAAAATATATATATATTTTTTTCTCGCTATAATTTTTATGTTGGGAGAATTGTTTTTCTCGCATTATTATTTGCGTAGTAATGTGATTACAAAAGCAAAGGACTGCGCTCATTTTAGCCTAGTTGCACACTCTAACGAGTTTTAGTTTGCTGCTACCCATTCACTGGATTTATTTTCATTATTTATTTATTTTTTTTTTTTTTTATGCTTCGTACTTCTTTTTTACCATCGCAATCCAATTGCCTTGAGTTTCCTCATTGCAGTGAGCCGGAAAATAAATTGAAAAGCAGATTACCCAAAAAGAACAGAACAATTCGATTACGTAATTTTATAGTATCATAATTTTTCCTACGATCGTTTCATACAATCATTCAGATCACTGTAATGTGGACAATGTCCTTTTAGTATTTTCCTTTCTTCATATTATCTTTTCGTATGAATGTTATTTGGGTTCATCAATTTTCTTCGATCGAAAACTTTAAGAACTAATATAAACTATTAAAAGTAAACAGCGTATATTTTATCGACTATCATTGACAACAATAACATAATTAATAATTCATGAATACAATGTTGTACCTTTTAGGTGCATCTATTTTTTTATACATACAGAAAACGTAACTGTAAAAACCGATCCGTGTAAACACTAAATATATATATATATATATACTTGTACATTTGTTCTTCTTCGATTGAGAGAAAACTTACTGTAATTGTATAAAAGTATTAACGTGGATAAAGTAATATCGTAATAGGTAAGATTTTGCTTAGCAACTGATACCCAAGTGTATGCTATAAAACTTATTTATTATTCTCGTTCCAATTATATTTTCTGTTATGATAAAGCTATTTTTAACAAAAAACTTGAGTTTAATATCATGTTTTATTGCTCAGTTTTAATCCTTAAACCGATTACAATATCATAACCGTGAGTAGAAAAATGTATTAATTTCTTTCTTATAAATATTTTATTCACATAGTTTAATGTACTAATCAATGCTGAAAACTTTATATGAAATTTTGTGACTCTTTACTCAAGATTTCCATTTTATTTTTTATAACAAGATTTTGTAATGGATAAATTTTATTATATTTAAAATGTTACAGCATATTTTCCAACTTAAATTAATCAAACTACTAACTCATTTAACAGTATTCTCTTTGATAATTATTTGGTATAACATTTAGTACTCCGATTAATTATATCTATATGATCAATTAGGCGTGTACTAGAAGGTTAAACTATAGTCAAATTAGAGAATTACAAGTTTTTGGAAAATATGACACTGATTTTTAACAATTTTAGTTCAAAATAATGATCGAACTTTTATGAATATCCAATCGGCTTTGTAATTTCTTCCTCTTACGTTCTTCATTACTAAACTATATTATTGAACTTATACTACATATAAGTTTTGTTGAAAAAAGTCTATTTATTTTAGTAGAACGGATACCTAATTTTAATCCTTGTAGTCAATGTATAAAGAATTGATATTTATATTTTCTAATTAAAATAAAGATTTTTAAAATATTAAAAACAGTATTCGACTTATTTCATCCTGAAAAAGTATAATTCTTTTTAAAAACATCAAAACAATTGAAATGAAAATATACTTATATAATTAAAAATACTAAAAAAAAAATTATTGATCGACTAGTCTACCCTTCTTTAATTGTTTTTTTCATTATACTAGTAACTAAAATGTTTCGTTCATGTTTATGTAATAAAAACTATAGTAGTATAGTTACTAGCATTATATAGTAGCTAGTAGTTTATAATTAAATAAATAAATGAAAAAGGACTTTTAACCTAAGTATTCTTAAACATTTGTAACTACAAAAGGAAAAAAAAATTTAAATGTAATGATATTCATCATTTCCATTACAAACAATATTCGACCACTTATGTCTCCTTTTTATGAAAAAATGTTTTAACAAAGTCTGAATGTCTGGTATAAAACTTCTTATTTATTTAGATTAGCTTTTAGTCGTGTAATATTAAAGAAAACTCATTAAAATGTTCAAGTGTACAGTGTCATATTTGGAATAGTTTTTCTATAAATTGTTTGTTATAAAAATACAAAACATTTTGTGTGATGCATAAGCTGTTTAAACTTTTCCACTTTCCGATCTGAGCAAAAACCATATTTCTTTAGCTTCTTCACCTAAACTTCGCTTCTCGTACAAGCTCCTATCTTTCCCTGACATAAGTTTTAGCACATAATGTGGTGAAATCCCCCATAGGCCAGTTACGCAATAACCTCAAACTGTCTATTTTGCGTGCTAAAGAAGAATACACTAGTAATAAATTTTGAAAAAACTTTTTACTTCGCTTCTTTTAATGTGAATAGTCTAGTAGTTTATACAGAGTCGTACATTCATCATAATCAATTACTTACAAAAAAAAAATTCGAAAATATGTTTTTTTAAATATAATTATCATTGTAAGATAGACCCGATTCCAAGTAGTTGGAATAGAGGCTAAGAAAATGAAGATGATTACAAAATATAAAATAATTTAGTTAAAAAAAAACAGTAGCACAGTGAGGTCGTGGCACAGAATGAACGTAGCATAGTTGGAACAAGTATAGATGATATCTGACAGTTATTAAAATCACTATCATAAGAAATGCTTCGATTATTGACTAAAAGTTATTAACATTAAACTAAATCCTAAAAAATACATCTAATTAACTATTCATGTATAGTATATACCTAGATATTAGCCTAAAGTCTGTGGAGATTTAAGATCCTATAGACACATTCATATCCCTATAACTGCGTTTTCGGAGAAAAAGGTAGAAGCCAAAAATTGTCCACAAAGTTTCACACAAGGTCTATAAACCATTTGCTATAGTTTTGAATTTAAAGATGTAGCCTCCACGAATATTTTTTCTAACTTTGGCCATTTGCTAATTATGTGAATTCATTAAAAAATTAATTTCTTATTGATGATTATTATTGAAGTATGATTATATGTTTGAAACTAGCTATTATTTGTCAGTAAATCTTATATCTTAATGTCATTACTATCACCATAACATTATTAACGAATTTATTATATTCGGAAACCGACAGTAAACTTGCATCGGAAGATGGTCCTATCATCTTGCACAACAAATAGTGAAGATAAAGAAAAGAGAGAAATAATTTATAGACTAATTCCAGTACATTACACTCCAATCACGTTCTGCGATTGTGTTTAACGTTTTAGGTTTTAACACGACCATAAACGTTCATCGTGTACCT